CGGGTGTGCATAGTTCCAAGCATATCGCCTGAGGCACATATGAATAACTGCGAGAATGGTAATTTAAGGGTTGTTTTCAGTAACATCAACACTATACACGCATTATGTCAAGCTCGATCTTTGAGCACACAGCGCCAGTGTAGAACCCACATCTGACTAATGCACGTCAAAAGGGTGAAAAAAAAGACAAAGGTTTGCAACGAGACTAGTCTCTGAACTGAAGCATGAGCTATGAGAGGCTGAAGGAGCTAAACCTGACGATGTTAATATTAAAGAAGAGAAGGACCGGGTATGACATAATTACGACGTACAAAATTCTAAGAGGAACTGATAAGGTGAACATGACGAGTCTGTTTAAGAAGCCGGAATCAGGTACACGAGGGCACAGCTGGATGTTAAAAACACACATGAGTTACGGGAATGTTGGGCAATACTTCTTTAGCCTTAGACTGGTCAGTTAATGGAACGACCTAGACAACGAAGTGTTAGAAATCGAATATAGCAGAGTTTATGCAAGGAGTGTGAGTGAACCCGATAGCGGCCAGCAAATAGGCGGAGCCAGGAGCTAAGATTCGACCCATATAACCACAAATGAGCGGCTACAAACACACACACACACACACTCAGTAGCTCCACCTCTACACATGCTCCGCCCCTGCAGGAGAGCGAGGTCGGGGTCATCTTCGGGTATATATAAAGTCTGGCTTCCACTAGCAGAGCATCTTCCTCGAAGCCTCCTGCAACACTTACACACAAACAACACACGTGTGCAACAAACATGAAGCTCGTGAGTATACATGGGCACCTGACGGCTCTCTTGTTATACCAGTCACACCCGAAGTCCCTCGTCTGTAGCTAGTCAGGTCACCTGGTACACGTTTAATTATTCCAGTCACAAACGCACAGTCCCATACACATGTGCACCAATATGTAGTTTGTGAGTACTTGGATATCTAGTTCCTTTTATTATTATGCAAGACAAACACACACAAACGCGTATGTGTTCACCAAACATGACGGTCGTGAATGCGCTCACTCTAGATGCCTCTTTTCATATGCCATTCATAAGATAATATCACAGCTGACTGTGACGGGTAATGCGTCTTTCTTGTTCGTCGCATCTCCCATTCCTTCCCTGACCTTCCCACCTTTCCCTCGTATCGCCCCCCTTCCCCTGCGGTCTGACGAATAAGACAAGTGTGCAACACCTGGGTATCCTTGTTGAGAGACGCTGGTTCCACCACGGGTTTTATCATTCCAGCTGAGGAATGAAGGCGGGTACTTTTACAGCGAAGCCAGGAGAAGTAGAGGGATGTAGAAGTTGTAGACATAGTCACGTGTGGGCGGGGTCCACTAGTGGAAGTAGGTCAAGCTTATCTACTTGACGGCTTAGTCAACGAGACACCATAACCAGGAACCACAGTCAGGCACCACACTCAGGCACCACACTCAGGCACCGCAGTCAGGCACCACACTCAGGAACCACACTCAGGCACCACACTCAGGCACCACAGTCAGGCACCACACTCAGGAACCACACTCAGGCACCACACTCAGGCACCACAGTCAGGCACCACACTCAGGAACCACAATCAAGCACCACACTCAGGCACCACAGTCAGGCACCCCACTCAGGAACCACACTCGGGCACCACACTGTGGTTCCTAACTTCCACAGGAATTTCAGCTTAAGATTGAAGGCTCTGGCCCTCACCACTTAAGGGCTGAATTTAAGAAGGATCTGCCTACCACTCATTGGCCGGTAGGCTTGCTGAAGTGCTCCTCCTTTCTTATAAACATATTTTCTTAAATATTGCACATGGGTTTAACGCTTGATTCGTTATACAATTATCCAAAAGTGTGTTCAGAAACTAACCAAGTTCTTCCTTGTTGATAGTCTGTGGTTCTTCTTATATTTAAAGTTAGGGTATTGAGACCCCTCTAATCTTTACCAAAGATCTAAGTTAATCTTCATACGGGAGATTCCGTATACATACAGTGAATCATTTTAGTCATCCTCTACTCCTGCACAGGTGGTTCTTGCCTGCCTGGCGGCCGTGGCCGTCGCTGCTCCTCAGCTTCAAGACAACCAGCCAGTGGTGGCGATCCTCAGAGATGACCGTCAAGACAACGGTGACGGTACCTTCAACTACGCCTTCGAGGCCGATAACGGCATCGCTGTGGAAGCCTCCGGCAGCCCTGGCTCCCAGGGCCAGAGCAACATCCAGGGCGTCTACAGGTGACGATTCACTCTTAATATTTGTCATTATTGACTCATGTATGCACTTCTACATGAAAAAAAGTCTTGCGAAGAGCATTAAAATTATTAGGATTCGTAACAGTTACAGACTTTATTTACAAATTTTGTACGCATGTCTGCTCGCTAAATTCTGGCACAATACAGTAGAGCTACGACAAGCGGCGGATCAGCGAGCCTCTACCAGTCCTATTGTTGAATGATCACAACGGATAGAGCGTTGCATAGAGTAGATATTAACAGTAGTCAGAGCCTTTCCTGAACCTACGTCTTATCTCCTCCCAGGTTCCCTCTTGACGACGGCACCATCGCTGAGGTCCGCTACGTCGCTGATGAGAACGGCTACAGACCAGAGTCCCTGCTGCTGCCCACGCCTCACTCTCTCCCTGACCACGCACTCGCGCAGATCCGCTTCGCCGAGGAACAGCGAGCTCTCGGTGTTGTGTTTGAATAAACATGGTATTTCCTGAAGAGTTTTTGGCCCGTGAGTGTTGTTGAGCACAAGAAGAGATGGAAGTGCCATCGTTCACCCGCTTCTAAATAAGAAGCTTCCTGTATCCACCTTTAAGTACTGATGTTTCTTAATATTTTAGATCATAATTGCTCAAAGTGTGTGTGTGTGTGTGTGTGTGCGTGCGTGCGTGTGTGTGTGTGTGTGTGTGTGTGTGTGTGTGTGTGTGTGTGTGTGTGTGTGTGTGTGTGTGTGTGTGTGTGTGTGTGTGTGTGTGAATGTTCTTAAAAATTAAAGTTTTAGAGGGAATTTTGTTTTTTAATAAATTTAATTTGAAGAACTGTGGTGAGTTTTGTTTCCATTATTAAACTGACGATGGTTATTACAGAAACAGCGACCAAAGAATGAACAATATCGTGAATTTGGGTAAAATATTCACAACAATGTGAAACTGCGGGGCCAGGAGCTGAGTCTCGACCCCTGCAACCACAATTAGGTGAGTACACACACACACACACACACACGGCAGGGCCAGGAGTTGAGTCTCGACTCCTGCAACCACAAATAGGTAAGTACACATCATACCTACTTTTAAAACTGTGGATGAAAGGACAAACGTACATACACTTACGTCATCCATACTACATACGTTTCGGTCTCAGGACCGAAACGTATGTAATAAAGATGTAGTATTTGCGTGAGTGCTGTCATCCGTACTGTTGTGTCGTTATAAGAAGAACATAAGAACATAAGAACATAAGAAAGAAGGAACACTGCAACAGGCCTACTGACCCATGCGGAGCAGGTCCATGTCCCCCCCCCCGCGGATTAGGCCAATGACCCACCCCCCGGATTATCCCAATGACCCACCCAGTCTGGTCATCCCCACTCAAGGATGGAGCACTGTACCAGACCCAGCAGCACAAGCTAGTCAGGTCCAACTCACACCCACCCACACCCACTCATGTATTTATCTAACCTATTTTTAAAACTACACAACGTTTTAGCCTGAATAACTGTACTCGGGAGTGTTGTTCACTCATCCACAACTCTATTACCAACCAGTGCTTTCCTATATCCTTCCTGAATCTGAATTTTTCCAACTTGAAACCATTGTGCGAGTCCTGTCTTGGCTGGAAATTTTCAGCACACTATTTACATCCCCTTTATTTATTCCTCTTTTCCATTTATACACCTCGATCATATCCCCCTAATTCTACGCCTTTCGAGAGAGTGCAGATTCAGGGCCCTCAGTCTATCTCATAGGAAGATTTCTGATACATGGATCATCTTTGTCATCCCCTTTGTACGTTTTCCAGAGCATTTATATCCATTCTGTAATACGGTGACCAGAACTGAGCAGCATAGTCTAAATGAGGCCTAACCAAGGATATATAGAGTTGAAGAACAACCTGAGGACTTCTATTATTTATACTTCTAGATATGAAGCCAAAAATTCTGTTAGCTTTATTGCGAACACTAATGCACTGTTGTCTTGGTTTTAGGTTACTGCTAACCAGAACTACTAAATCCTTTTCTCAGTAGTAGTACCAGTTCCTATTAACCAGTTACCAGTAACTAGTGTACCAGTAGATGACTCACTACCAACCGTCTGTGTGAATCACTGACTGTTATTCATGTTGCTGCTGACCATAGCATATTTTTGAATGCCTTACCCGCTAGGCACTTGTATGCCAGCAGTGTCTCATTCCCTGATCTTTTCGCAGACTTGTGTACCATTATTTTTGCCAGCAATTTTTGTCATATCAGTCACAGCAAGATTTTGTTGTAAGAACATTGATAAATAAGTTTGCAATCCTTGTTGTGTGCCCCACCGCTTGTAAGTGTCGTGTGCCCCGCCGCTTGTAAGTGTTGTGTGCCCCGCCGCTTGTAAGTGTCGTGTGCCCCGCCGCTTGTAAGTGTTGTGTGCCCCGCCGCTTGTAAGTGTCGTGTGCCCCGCCGCTTGTAAGTGTTGTGTGCCCCGCCGCTTGTAAGTGTTGTGTGCCCCGCCGCTTGTAAGTGTTGTGTGCCCCGCCGCTTGTAAGTGTTGTGTGCCCCGCCACTTGTAAGTGTTGTGTGCCCCCCCGCTTGTAAGTGTTGTGTCCCCCACCGTTTGGGAATGTTTTCGTGGGGCCCCCCCCCTTGAAAAGGTTTTTGGTGTCCCCCGCCGCTTGAAAATTTTGTTGTGCCCCCCCGCTTGAAAAGTGTTGTTTTCCCCCCGCCGCTTTTTAAAGTTTTTGTGTGCCCCCCCCTTTTTTAAGTGTTGTGTCCCCCTTCCATTGTAAATGTTGTTTTGCCCGCCGTTGTAAGTGTTGTGTCCCCCGCCCTTGGGTAAGTGTTGTGTGCCCCCCCCTTTAAAAATTTTTTTGTGTCCCCCGGCTTGTAAGGGGTGTGTGCCCCGCCGCTTGTAAGGGTTTTTGGCCCCCCCCGCTTTTTAAGTTTTTGTGTGCCCCCCCATTTTGAAAGTGTTGTGTCCCCCGCCATTGTAAGTTTTTGTGTCCCCCGCCACTTGAAAAGTGTTGTTTTGCCCGCCGAAATGTAAGTGTTGTGTGCCCCCCCATTTGGGAAGTTTTGGGTGTGCCCCGCCGTTTTTAAAAGTGTTGTTGCCCCCCCCACTTTTTAAGTGTTGTGTGCCCCGCCACTTGAAAAGTGTTGTGTGCCCCACCACTTGTAAGTGTCGTGGGGGCCCCGCCGCTTGAAAGGTTTTGGTGTGCCCCGCCACTTGAAAGTGTTGGGGCCCCCGCCGTTTGTAAATTTGTTGTGGCCCCGCCGTTTTGTAAGTTTTTGTGTCCCCGCCACTTGAAAAGGTTGTGTGCCCCCCACTTTTTTTAAGGGGTTGTGTGCCCCCCCTTGAAGTGCTGTGTGCCCCGCCATTTGGAAGTTTTGTGTGCCCCCCACTTAAAAAGTGTTGTGTCCCCCAAACCACGTAAGTGTTGTGTGCCACCCCCTTTTGGAAAGTGTTGTGTGCCCCCATTGGTAAGTGGTGTGTGCCCCGAAAATTGAAATTTTTGTTTGGGCCCCACCACTTGAAAGGTTTTTGGTGTGCCCCCATTTTTAAGTTTTTGTTTGCCCCACCCTTTTTTGTTTTTTGTGTGCCCCCCATTGTAAGTTTTTGTGTCCCAAAAACCCTTGTAAGGGGTTGGGGTTTTCCCCCACCACTTTTTAAAGTTTTGGGGTGCCCCCCCCCAAATTGTAAGTGTTGGGTGCCCCACCATTTGTAAGTGTTGTGTGCCCCCCCACTTGTAAGTGTTGTGGGGCCCCGCCACTTGAAAAGTGTTGTGTGCCCCCCCCGTTGAAAGTGTTTTTGTGCCCCCCCACTTGAAAGTGTTGTGTGCCCCGCCTTTTGGTAAGGTTGTGGGCCCCCCACTTGTAATTTGTTGTTTTCCCCCGCCCGCTTGAAAAGTGTTGTGTGCCCCCTTGTAAGTGTTGTGTGCCCCAAAAATTGAAAGGGTGTTGTGTGCCCCCCCGTTTTTAAAGTTTTTGTGTGCCCCCGCGTTGTAAGTGTTGTGTGCCCCGCGCTTGAAGGGTTTTGTGTGCCCGCCGCTTGAAAGGGTTTTTGTGTCCCCCGCCCCCTTTGTAAGTTTTTGTGTGCCCCCCCCGCTTGTAAGTGTTGTGTGCCCCCGCCGCTTGTAAGTGTTGTTTTGCCCCGCCAATTGTAAGTGTTTTTGTCCCCCGCCCATTTTTAAAAGTGTTGTGCCCCCAACCCACTTGTAAGTTTTTGTGTCCCCCACCACTTGAAAGGGTTTTGTGTGCCCGCCGCTTTTTAAAGTTTTTGTGTGCCCCGCCATTTGAAAGTGTTGTTTTCCCCCGGGCCCGCTTGTAATTTGTTGTTTGCCCCCGCTTGTAAGTGTTGTGTGCCCCCCCGCTTGAAAAGTGTTGTGGCCCCGCCGCTTGTAAGTGTTGTGTCCCCCCGCCATTTTTAGTGTTGTGTGCCCCCCCGTTGTAAGGTTGTTTTGCCCCGCCATTGTAAGTGTTGTGTCCCCCGAAAACCTTGAAAAGTTTTGGTTTTTGGCCCCACCACTTGTAAGTGTCGGGGCCCCCGGGCCGTTTTGTAGTTTTTGTGTGCCCCGCCACTTGAAAGTTTTGGTTTTCCCCCCGCCGCTTTTTAAGTGTTGTGTGCCCGCCGCTTGTAAGTGTTGTGTGCCCCGCCCTTGTAATGTTTTTGTGCCCCTCCACTTGAAAATGTTTTTGTCCCCCCGCCGCTTGAAAGTGTTGTGTGCCCAGCCGCTTGAAGTGTTCTTTTTCCCCCCGCCGTTTTGTAAGTGTTGTGTGCCCGCCACTTGAAAAGGTGTTGTTTTCCCCCACCGCTTGTAAGTGTTTTTGTCCCCCCGCCATTGTAAGTGTTGTTTTGCCCCCCCCGCTTGTAAGTTTTTGTGTGCCCCCCCCCACTTGTAAGTGTTGGTCCCCCGGGCCACTTGTAAGGTTGTGTCCCCTTTCCCCATTTGGGAAAGTGTTGGGGCCCCCGGGCCGCTTCAAATTTTGTTGTGTCCCCCCGCCACTTGTAATTTGTTGTGTCCCCCGCCACTTGTAAGTTTGTGTCCCCCTGCCACTTTTTGTTTTGTGTGCCCCCCCATTGAAAGTGTTGTGTGCCCCGCCATTTGGTAAGGGGTTTGTGTGCCCACCATTTGTAAGTGTTGTGTCCCACGCCATTTTTGTAAAGTGTTGTGTGCCCCCATTTGAAAAAAGGTTTTGTGGGCCCCGCCATTGTAAAAAAAAAGGGTGTTGTGTGCCCTCCCACCTTGTAAGTGTTGTGTGCCCCCCCCAAATTGAAAGGGTGTTGTGTGCCCCGCCCCACTTGAAAGTGTTGTGTCCCCAACCATTTTGTAAGTGTTTGTGCACCCACTTGGGAAGTTTTGGTGGGCCCCCGCCATTGTAAGATTGTTTTGCCCAAACCATTTGAAAGTTTTGGGGGCCCCCAAACCACTTGTAAGTGTTTGTGCCCCGCCACTTGAAATTTTTGGTGTGCCCCACCACTTGTAATTTGTTGTGTGCCCCCCCACTTGTAAGTGTTGTGTGCCCCCCCAATTTGGGAAGTGTTTTTGTGCCCCCCATTGTAAGTTTTGTGTGCCCCCCCACTTGTAAGTTTTGGGTGTGCCCGCCATTTTTAAGTTTGTGTCCCCCCTCCACTTGAAAGTGTTGTGTGCCTCCCTTTTTTAAAAGGTTGTGTGCCCCCCACTTGAAAGTGTTGTGTCCCCCCACCACTTGTAAGTGTTGTGGGGCCCCCCCACTTGTAAGTGTTGGGCCCCCCACCATTGTAATGTTGTGTGCCCCCCATTGAAAGTGTTGTGTCCCCAAACCCTTGAAAGTTTTGGGTGTCCCCCCAAAATTGAAAAGTTTTGG